GGCTGGTTTTTTCCTGGTTTCCCTTTACTTTCAGCACGAATTTTGCCTGGGAATGAGTCACTCCCATGGTTATAAACACCCGAACTTTTCCCCCGCCGGTGTCTGGCTCAGTCCTGCCCGGTCCATCCCCCCATGCTCTGTTTGTCCTTCAGCTGCCAAATCCCAACATTCATTTTCGATTCCTGCCCGAGCTCCCTTTCCCGGAATGGGAGGGGAGGGGGCCGGGCCGGGCACGGGACAAAAGCCGGGCATGACCCCCGTGGGTGGCAGAGCTGCGACAGCCGAGACAGGGATGGCGAGCAACAACAGCACCCGGAGCCCCCTGAGCCCCCCCTGCCCCTCGACTGGGAGCGGGGGAAAGGATGAGAAAGCTCCTGGTTACACTGTACCAGAATCCTGGTGAGTGACAGAGACCCCGGCAGGGACCGGACCGGGGGGTTTTGGGTCCCAGTGAGGCGGGGGGGGATGTGAAGAGGAGAGGTCGGGGTTGGCTCAGGCCACCCCCGCTGTCACTGTCGCCGTCGGGTGACACTCGAGGATGGGCAGGTCCGAGCCCCGGGGGTGGGGAGGGGAGAAGGGGGTCACCCCAATGCCCGGGGGGAGGGAAGGAGAGGGGGGACCCCGCGGGGGCAGCGCTGAGAGTGTCGCTGTGAGAGAGGGTTGGGTGGGAAGGGACCTCCCGGACCCCCCAGGCCCCCCTGCAATGGGCAGGGACACCTTCCTCCGTCCCAGAAGGCTCCAAGCCCAGTCTGACATGGCCTGGAACAGCTCCAGGGGTGGGTGTAACACTCCAGCCCTGGGAGCTGTCAGCTCACGGGCTCAGCCAGGAGTTTTACTTTCAAATATAGACATAAGGTTCTTTAATACCTTGAGATGGTGTCAAGAGAACAAGCCACAGACTTGTTCCCAAGAGGTACCTTTATTAATTTAGGGGAGAAAATAAGGGAACTTGGCAAACCTTCAAAAGGGCACCACACAAACTGGACAAAGGTTTCCACCACAACACTGACTCAGCACCAATCCACAGCACTTAAGTCAGGACCCAACCCCTCCAGCTGCCAAAGCCACCCAGAGCATCCAGAAAGGAGCAGAGAAAGAGAAGCAGAGGGAACAAGAAGAGGGAAGGAGAGAGAGACAGACATTAAAGCTCCCGCTGGAACCCTATGGCAGAGCAGCTCTCACAGGTCCAGTGGCAGGGCCACAACCCGGGGCAAACACGTGGCCTTGGCTTTACCTGCTCTGGTCCCTGTGGCCAAACCCTCCAGGGGGGTCTGTGACACACCAGCCACTCTGGGCTTCCAGGCCAGGGCGAGGGGCAGTGTCCCCCCTGTCCCAGTCTGAGCTGGGTGAGGGGTTCCAGGAGCTATGAGGGGTTATAGGGCAGTGTCCCCCCTGTCCCTGCCCACCTGAGCTGCATGAGGGGCTCCTGGAGCTGGGGGGGGCTATAGGGCAGTCCCCCCCCGTCCCAGTCTGAGCTGGGTGAGGGGCTGCAGGAGCTGGGGGCTGTTGTAGTTTTCCGGGGCTGTTTGTGACCAGCAGCTGCTCCGGGGTTTTCCCACGTGGGCTCCAGGGCCTGTCGTGGGGGATATGGGGCCACCCCACCCCCGTGGGGTTTGACCCATCCCTTCCTCCTCCACAGACACACAGACAGACAGACAGACAGACACACACACACACACACACAGACACACAGACTCAGATACACAGACACAGACAGACACACACAGACAGACAGACACACACACACACACAGACACACAGACACAGACACAGACAGACACACACAGACAGACAGACACACAGACACAGACACACAGAGACAGACACACAGACACACGCAGACACAGACACAGACACACACACACACAGACACACACACACACAGACAGACAGACACACAGACAGACAGACAGACACACAGACAGACACACAAACACAGACAGACACAGACACACAGACAGACAGACACACACACACACACACACATCACCCACAGGGTGTTTCTGACCCAACAGTCACTGCTCTCCTGTCCAGCAACGGGGCAGCCACAGCTCCTCAGGGCAGCCTGTGCCGGGGCCTCACCACCCTCACTGGGAGGAATTTCTTCCCAAAATCCTACCTAAATCCCCTCTCCTTCCCCTCAAAGCCACGGAAGGGGGTACCTGCACCTCTCCCAGGTGTCCTCGTTGTCTCCACAGCAAAGGAGCCCAGCGGGAATTGCTGGGAAAATTGGAGGGGATTGGGAAGGACTGAGGGGGACAATTGCCGGGCTGGGAGAGCTGAGGGTGCTCCCCTGGAGCAGAGAAGGCTCTGGGGAGATCTTCCAGCACCTTCCAGTGCCCAAAGGGGCTGTGGGAGAGCTGGGAGGGACTTTGGACACCTGGAAGGGACAGAACAGGGGGCAGACAGGAAAATACCCCGGAAAAGAGGGTATTTGGATGGATTTGAGAGAGAAATCTTTAGCTGTGGGTAAGGGACTGGAATGAATTTCCTGGAGAAGCTGCGGCTGCCCCATCCCTGGAGTTGTTCCAAGCCAGGTTGGACAAGGCTCGGAGCCACCTGGGATAGTGGAAGGTGTCCCTGCCCCTGGCAGGGGCTGGGATGGAATGAGCTTTAAGGTCCCTTCCCACAAAAACCGTTCCAGCTTTCCATCGTGTGCTGCTCTGTGTTTGGGTTGTGCCCACCCCGTGCCCACCTGTGTCACCTTCCCTTGCCAGGATACACCGGCTGGAGGCACTGGTGTGGAACGAGGATGAGATGTGGCCCATCTGCCTGGTGGAGAATTCCCGGGAGAAGGGGCTGGTTGTCCAGCCCAAGGCCCTGCAGGTGCTTCTGGGGCTCAAACAGCCCGTGGTGGTCAAGGCTGACACACAGTTCTACTCAGAAGGTAAGTCCTACCTGAGGAGCAGGCTGAGAACGTGAGGTAGGTCCTGACCTGGATGGTTGGGGTACCTGGATGGTCGGGGTACCTGGATGATTGGGGTACCTGGATGGAGGAGGCACCTGGATGGTCGGGGTACCTGGGAGGCCAAGGTGGTACCTGATGGCCAAGATGGTACCTGGGCTTCCCCCTCTATTTCCCACCTGTGTCCCCCCAGGGGTCTCCGTGGGCCGGATCATGATGTCCTGCAGCCCCCACCCTCACCTGTCTGACCACACCCTCATCACACTGTACCCCGAGGATCAGCTGGTGTGTGAGGTGTGTGAGGCCCAGGGGCTCCCTCTGTGCACCCCCAGCACTTTGGGCTCACCTGAGCCCAGGTGCCCCCCAGCCCACGGTGCCCAGAGGCCGTGGAGGAGGAAATCGGGCCGGGCAGGTTCCCAAATTCCTGTTTTTTGGAAAAAAAGTGCAGCAGAATGGGAATGAGGAACTGGGGGAGGGGCATCTGAGGGAGAAGGGTCTGAGGGACCCCGAGAGTTAAAAATTGAGGATACTCATGGAATCACAGAATATCCTGAGCGGGAAGGACCCCCAGGGGGTCACTGGGGCCCAGGTGCCCCCCCCCAGAGAAGGGAGGCACGTTGGGGAAATCGCCAAAATCCTCTGGATGTCAGGAAAAGTGCAGCGGGATAAGAATTAGTAGCAGAGGGGAGGGGGCAGGTCTGAGGAACCCCAAGGGTTATAAAAATTGGGAATAATCATGAAACCCCAGAATATCCTGAGTGGGAAGGACCCTCGGGATGCCAGCCCTGCCCAGGACACCCCGGGGACACCCTGAGGCTCGTGGGGATGGAGGGGGAGGGTTCTCCCCAAACCCTGGGGTTCAGGGGGGTCCTGGGGGTGTCTGACTGGGGGAGGGGTTGTTGCAGGGGGACCCCAAGAACTCCCGTTGGCTGTTGGTGCTGACCCTGCTCCTCTCCAGCTCCCTGATCCACACCAGCTATGGAGGCATCGACCAGTGGGACATGGACCGGCTGCGGTACCGGGGGGGCTGCGGGACCCCCCTTGGGGTGGGAGGGGGGACAGGACAGTGGGGACCTGCCCTCAGCCTGGGGTGGGACAGGAGCACGGGGACCTCCCTTGACTTGGGGTTGGGAGGACAGGAATCCCCCAGACTCCCCAGACACATTCTGGGTCCTTGGGAGGCCCCCCATTGTCACCCCCAGGGCTGGGGGAGCCCCATCCCCCAAACTGTCCCCTCTCCCGAGCAGGGCTGGAGATCTGGGGGGACCCCTCACCCAACAATTCCTCACCTGGGGGTCTCAGGGGTCCCTCACCCGGCGGTTCCTCACCTGGCCCAGGTGGCTGTCGAAGCTGCCGCAGCTCATCCGGTACAAAGAGAGCCCCGGAGGCGGCGCAGACCTGCAGGATTCCCACAGATTCGCCCTTTTCTTCCCCAATTTCATCTGGGAAGTCGAGGATTGCGCCCAGGAGCTGGAGGGGAAGGACGGGCACGGAATCTCTGACGACGAGTACCTGGAGCGGGCACTGAGGCTGCAGCCAGGTGAGGGTGCAGGGGAGGGCACAGGTGAGGGTCCAGGTGAGAGTCCAGGCAAGAACATAGGTGAGGGTACAGGTGAGGGGTCCAGGTGAGGGTCCATGTGAGATCACAGGTGAGGGATGTCCAGGTGTGACCCCACCCTGGGTGACACCCCGTGGTACCCCCCCCCTCACAGGTACCAACCCCAAGGCCCAGCAGCACAACCTGACCCGGGAGTGCATCCGGCAGTTCTTCCCGGGGCGCAGGTGCTTCAAGTTCCTGGAGGAGCCGGAGGAGGAGTTCGAGTTCCCCTGGGAGGAGATGCCACGGAAAACTTTGCCTGGGGGCCTTGTGGTCACCGGAGAACGTGAGTGTTGGGTCCAGGAATTGTTGGACTGTGGGATTGTGGAATAATCAAATTGTTCAGGTGGGAAAAGACCTCTGGGAGCATCAGCTCCAACCACTGTGAGTTGGACTCGATGATCCTTGTGGGTCCCTCCCATCCCAGGAGATTCCATAGTTCCATGATCCCATGATTCCATGACTCAATGATCCTGGTGGGTTCCTCCCATCAGGGGATATTCCATGATTCCATCATTCCACAATTCCATGACTCCATTATCTTTGGGTGTCCCTTCCAGCTCAGAATATTCCGCGATCCCATGATTCCATCATTCCATGATCCTGTGGGCCCCCTCCAACTCAGGAGAGTCCTTGCCTCCATGATCCCATAATTCTGTGACTCAGTGATCCCGGTGTGTCCCTCCCAGCTGGGATATTCCATGTTTCCATGATCTCATGATTCCATAATCCCTCCCAACCCAGGAGACACTCTCTGATTCCATGACTCAGTGATCCTACTATAGGTATTCCATGATTCCAGGATTCCATGATCCTCGTAGGTCCCTCCCACCCCAGGGGATTCCACGATCTCATGATTCCGTGACTCGGTGGTTCTTGTGGGTCCTTCCCAGCCCAGGATATCCCATGGATAACCCAGGATATTCCATGAATAACCCGGGATATCCCATGGACAACCCAGGATATCCCACGATTCCGTGACTGACCCCACAATCCCACGGCTCGATGACCCTTGTGGGTCCCTCCCAGCCTGGGACATCCCATGGATAACCCAGGATATCCCATGGATAACCCAGGATATTCCACGATCCCATGACTGACCCCACAATCCCATGGCTCTATGACCCTTGTGGGCCCCTCCCAGCCCGGGACATCCCACAGTCCCTGACCCCCCCGGTCTCTCGGCAGTGCTGGGGAGGTTGGCAGAGATCTACGTGGGGCAGATCCGGGCGGGAGCGGTGCCGTGCCTGGAACGCGCCGTTCGGGATCTGGCCCCGGTGGCCAACGCGGCAGCGGTGAAGGCGGCCGTGGGGCTGTACCGGGAGCGGATGGAGCGCCTGGAGCTGCCCACGGACACGGCCACGGAGATGCTGCAGCTCCACGGGCGCTGCGAGCGAGAGGCTCTGGAGCTGTTCATGGAACGGGCTTTCCCGGATGGAATCTGCAACGGCCAGGCCCAGTTCATGGTGGGTGGATCCCACTTTGACCTGTGGATCCCAATTCCCATGTTGATCTGGGAATCCCAGTTCCCACGTTGGCTCGGGATCTCAATTCCCACATCGACCTAGAGACCCAATTCATGTGTCAATCTTGGGATCCCAGTTCCCATGTTGACCCAGGGATGCTAATTCCCACATTGACCTGGAGACCCTAATTCCCATGCCAACCTTGGAATCCCAATTTCCCTGTCAGCCTGGAAGATCCCGGTTCCCATCTCAGCCTGGGAGGGGTCTCAGTTCCCGTGTTGCCCTGTAGACTCCAATGTCCCATGGGATCCCAATCCATGACTCCTTGATCTCTGCAGCGCCAGGTGGAGGCCCTGAAGGCCAAGTTCTTCTCGGAGAACGAGCGCGTGTCCCGTGCCAGGTGTGAGGAGGTGCTCCGGGAGCTGTCCCAGGACATGGAGACACGGATCCGGGACAGATCCTGGGGAGTTGTCAGGGACTACCACCAGGCACTGGTGGAGCAATACTGGAAGATGCCTGGCAAGGGGTTGAAGGTGGGAACATCTCCCAACAAGGCAGAGGCTCCGTCTCCCATCCCATTCTCCAGCTGTCCCCCACCCTGACCCCTCCCCGCGTTCCCGCAGGCAGCTGCCGTGCTGCAGGAATTCCTCAGGAGCAGGACGGTGCCCAGGAGCATCCTGAGCATGGATCGTTCCCCGAGGACGTGGAGTAATGTTGGGGCTGGGGCAGCAGCCGGGGGGGGTCCAGGTGCGATCCCGGGACGCTCCCCCCGCATCCGTGTGCTCTCCAGGTGAGTGGTACCTGCGGGAGCTGGAGCGGAGGGTGCGCGCGGAGAAGGCGGACGAGGAGCAGCAGCGGCGGCAGGAGCAGCTCCGGAGGCGCTCGGAGCACCAGCGCCAGCTCAAGGAGAAGCTGGAGGGCTTTGAGATGAGGCAGCACAAGGAGCATCGGCGCCTGATCGTCCACAAAGCCAAGGTACGGGACACACGGAGCCCTCGCGGAGGGGCCGAGGGGTGGCTGGGGGATCCCGGCTCTGCCTCCCTGCGGCTCCACATCCCCTGGATCCGCATCCTCTGGATCTGCATCCCCTGCTCTGTATCCCTTGCTCTGCATCCCCTGGATCTGCCTCCCCTGGCTCTGCGTCCTCTGCTCTGCATCCCCTGGCTCTGCATCCCCTGCTCTGTATCCCCCCGGCTCCACATCCCCTGGCTCTGCATTCTCTGCTCTGTATCCTCCTGGCTCTGTATCTCCTAGATCTGCATCCCCTGGCTCTGCATGCCCCTGCTCTCCATCCCTCTGTTCTGCATCTCCCTGCCCTCCATCCCTCTGTTCTGCATCTCTCTGCCCTGCATCCCCCGGCTCCACACCCCCCCAGCTCTGCCCTCACTGTCGTCCCGCCTAGGAGGGGAGGGCCCTGCACCAGGAGGGCTTCCACGAGCAGGCGGACCTGCTTCTCTCCACGGTCATGGATCTGGAGCGGGAATATGGCAAGAGCGGCAGGAACGGCAGCGGCGGAGATTGGAATGGCGGGAACAGCAGCGGGAACGGCGGGAATAGCGGTTGGAACAGCAACAGCAACGCCTCCAGGACCTGGATCCACGTCCTTTTGGCCGTCCTGGCAGTGCTGGCATTTATCATCCTTCGCATTTAGGGCCCGCCAGGAATTCCATAAAACCGCCCTGTCCCACCCCTGCTGGGGGCAGGGACACTTGTCCTCTGCCCTGGCTGCTCCAACCCCCATCCCGCCCGGCCTGGAGCATTTCCAGGGATGGCATCACATGAAAAGCAGAGTTTTCCTCCACTCTGTTATAAGTAAATAAAATAGATTGAGGTATAGCAGCAAATATTAAAGATTTATGTAAAGTGCAAATAAGCAAAACAGCTCCCTGGGTGGCCTGGGAGACCCCTGCTCCACTCACGGCCCGCAAGTGCAATAGGCAAAACCAGTAACTTTTATACCCTTATCAATCCCCCTCCCATAGTCACTTGTAGCTCTTCATTGGGCTTGAGTTGGCGGGGCTGGTTCTGGTTGGTCCTCTCTTGCAGGCCCAGTTCAGTTGCCAGGTATTTTCCTTCCATAGTTTTAATTAATCTTTCGTCCTTGAGGCCTGGTGTGTGGGGCTTTCCAGATGTTCGTTCTGGCTTCTCCTTATCATCCTTGTACTTGACCTTTTCATTCTTGTCCTTCTCTTCTTTACTTTATAAGTATACTTTAGACAATATATTTCATAAAAACAGGATACTGTATATGTTTTAGCAAAGCATAATAATTTGTCTGGTCAGCTAGGAACTGCAAGCTGCAGGACTACCAACATGTAATACTGTCATGTTAACCCTTCTGCAACTTACAGTCCCTCAGCCTGAACAGAACATTGATTACAATAACATACATAGGAATATGATTACATAACATGCAATTTGATGAGTAAATTATTTTACTATTGCTTATTTATCACAGCAGTGTATCCATAGATTGCTTTCACCACATTTTTGCAGTCAGACACCGTCACCGATGACCCTCGACCCTGATTAACCTGTCATGATTTGTATCAATAAACTGTTATCCCATAAACTGTTGGAGTGAGTCCTTTACAGGTGCTGGCAGGTGTTGGCAGTCGATAACACATCAGGAAGACCTGCTGGGGGGTCTCCAAGCTGTTGGCTCAGACCCCTGGAAAGAGCAGTGGGATCACCCTTCCCCCGGGCCTCTTGACCCCTCCTTTGCTCCCCGTGCTCCCCCTCCTGCCCTCACACCCCCCTGGGCACGGGGGGACGGACGGGACGGGTCCTGGGGATCCCAGCGAGGGCCGAGGACCAGAGGAATGGGCTCCCTGTCCAAAGAGATTCCCCTTCGCTCCCCCC